ATAGGCGCAAGGGAACGATTTTGATGTTTTCATTGCGTTTTTCCAATTACGTTACCTAACCCTCACAAGCCTGAAGGGACAATTGTTGTCTCCCTGACAAATATTTGCGATAGCTTCCGAATGTTTGGGGATAGGAGTGTAAAACATTCAGTACCTTGTCCCCCATCAAGTTGACATCTTCTGGGGTAAACGATTTGGACCTAGTCCCCTTAATGACGGCACATACCGGGTGTCCCAAAAGTAAGGTCATGATTTAAAACTTAAATATCTCGAGAAGTAAGAGTCCGAATCACTTCCAATTTTAACACGTGCAAGGTACATCCATAAAATTATTTTTTTGCATGCTTAAACCATTTTTGATCATAACTACACCGAGCAGTAGGCATAAAATGAGAAGGTCGAAATTCAACTCTTAGAGAGGGTCCGTCATTAAAACAAAGGGTAAATACGCCCAGTTTTCGGCCCTAAGCAGACCCTATCAGCTCGCCCTATCTCTGAACTCATGCATAGTTTCGCCTCAACCGGTAAAACGTCAGAAAAAGGTAAAATGTACGCACAGGGCATGTATACTTAGCTACCTGTGCTTCGAGGTCCTGAGGACGACAGCGGGAATCGGGTGACAATAAATCAAGAGAGGTGGCCGAGAGTCCTCCCAGTGGTTCTTCCGCTCGTCGCAACGCAGCTGTGCCGACACCATCAGCCAGCAGTGGTTTCAGCAGGATGGAGACTATGCTTGCACCGTCCTGAAGATCATGCATTGTCTCCGAGAGTGGATGTGAGATCCCGTAGTTTTCAGTCAGGGCAACGCCATTGAATGGCCTCCGCGGTCACCTGACGTTACACCTTCATATTTTTATTCTCTGGATACACAACAGAAAGATTGTCTTTTAGGACAACCCAACGAGCCGGGAAGAACTAAAGGATGATCCCTTCGAGCAAACATAGGCGGCATCTCACCAGAGAATCGCTCCAGAATAGTGGAGGAAGTCAAACGTAGTCTATTCATGCACGCGGCCCGAAATGGTAGCCATGTAGAAAAGCAGCAAATGTGGGGCTACGAGCCAACGTATTGACTCATATGTATATCAGAATAAAATTTTATAAAATGTTCTTTCATATGATGTCCTATTTATATCTATCCATCGCGTATTTTTGGCAGTGTGGCCAAAACAAATGATGACCTTACTTTTGGGACACCCTGTAATCGATTTTTCTAGACCCTTGTACGGCAAATTTCGATGTCACAGACGTGCACCTCACATTGCTGGCAAAATAGAGTTCTAGACATAAATAGGCACAAAGTAGCCGTTTTCATGACGGCCATCTGGTACACATTTGGTGCACCTCTGGTGCAGATTAGGTGCAGATTTGGTCAAATTAGTTTCAGTGTGTCTCTTAGTAGCTATGAGCTAGGGTTGCACTTATTGCTTATATGCCTACTTTGTCATATTATCAGAGAGCATCATCGATTAAAACACTGAAATAAATTCATAAATGAAGATATTTGCTGTAAAAGAGATAAGGTGCAGATTTAGTCAAATTAGGTGCATTCGCCCGTCGTGAAAACGGCTATTACCAGCACTGTTTGTGCAGTAGATGGCCAAGGGAAAAATAGAAATACTTTTCGTGTCCTGACGTCAGAAGTCAAGTCAACGAACCCGAGCTGAGATTTTAGATTTTTTAAAGGAAATAACTTCAACAAAAATGATCCCAAAGTTAGGGTAGTAGTACCAACGCATTTGTCTTTTCAAGACGCATCGAATGCAATATATTTTGGGTGGAAAAGGTCAGATCTTTTGTTGCCTTTACGTGACCTCAAATGACCTATGACTGACCTTGACTCATGACAGGCGTTACATGGTGCATTCGTAGCTGCTGATAATACATTTTGGCATTCATTTTGCTCTAAGCGCTCATTTAGAGCCTCAGAATAGCAAACATGGCTGAACTTTTATGGCTGACTTGAATCAGTGAAATAGCCTGTAGCAATTATAATTGTGCGTGAGCTTGACCTTGGGGCAGCCTTGTATCGTAAGATGAACCACAAATAGGGGCCTGATAAGCCTTACAACATTTCAAAATATTTTGGAATTTAGTATATAACATAGTGCAAGTGTGCAAAGTTTGAGGTCAACTTGGAGCATGCCTTTGACCTTAATCTTGAATTTTGGGCACAACATCGGATTCTTCAGTTTTTTTTTTCGTTTCTCATCCGTTTCGACAGGCGTCATGCATCCTGCCCTGCCGTCCTCTGAAACACTCAGTTTGAGATAAATCACTACGTATTTGCAAGTTTTGGCTTTGACATTGACCCCTGGGCCTTGACCTATAAAATGTATATAGGTCAAAATGTTTTTGCTGGTTTAGAGTTGTCTCGTAGATAACTTTTGCTACCCAGTAAACATGACGACGTCGGCCCAACGTCGGTTTAACCTCGTCCCGACATCGGTTGGACGTCGGATATGCCCGCATGTTCCGACGTCCAGCCGAAGTCCAGCCGACGTCGAGCCGACGTTGGGCCGAGATCGTTTGCCGAGGTTGACGAGATCGTTTGTCGTTGGACCGACGGGGCCGACGTCTGCATGTTTATTGGGACAACGCGCCAAAAATATCAACCGGCGGCGGGATTCGAGCCCCCCAGTCGCCGACGTCGGCATGTTTACTGGGACAACACGCCAAAAGCATCAGCCGGCGATGGGATTCGAGCCCCGTGCTACTCGAACGCAAGGTTAGGGCGCTAACCACTACACCACGCAGCCAGCTAACGAATGAGGTTTGTTTTGTTGGGTTATGCCCTTTCGGTCTGACAAGACCATTTCAGAGCCGGAAAGATCATAGGATGGAGACATTGGTCTTCTTGGCGAGCACCCTGGGTCCAGTTCATATAGAGTCCCTGGTCCCATTGCTGTTACGTGACACTTATTGGAAAGGGCGACCCCACAATGGGTTCATATAGCTACTCTTATACACCTGCACCAACGTTTCCCAAAGTGTCCCTTTGATAAGTGGCACTTTGGCAAAGTGACACTTGCCGACTGGCCTTTCTATATGAACTGGGCCCGGCCCTCGTGAGTTGCCGGGGCTGAGCCTGACCAAAGGATAGGCCGAGCAGCCCCCAAGCACTCACTGCACCCGGCTACGGGCGAGCTCGGCTTACGGGCAATCCCAAATGGGATAAAGTTTCCCGTCCAGTCCGGATCAGGGGGTTGCGACGTGGAGGAGGATTTGAGTTTCCTGAGGATATTTTGAATACAGAAGCTCTTTATTAAACATGAAACATGTATTTTATATTATTTTAACGGTCAAAACAGCGGCCGATGTCGGTCCGACGTCGCCCCGACGTCGGCCGACGTCGGCTGGACCTCAGCAATTGATCTCGGTCCGACGTCGGCCCGACGTCGGCTGGACCTCGGCTGGACGTCGGAACATGCGGGCATATACGACATCCAGCCGACGTCGTGCCGAGGTTGGACCGACGTCGGGCCGACGTCGGCATGCTGATGCCGAGTTGCCGACGTCACCCCGACGTCGGGCCGACGTCGGCATGTTTACTGGGTAAGTACCTTATATCGCTTTCCTTTCCGTGTCTTCCTTATTTACGGATTTAGACAGGGAGACAAACAATGTCCCCTCCGGGCTGCTGTGGCTGTGTTACCCCCGGGCCCGGCCGGGCTAACTATTGTACCTTTTGGCTAGAAAGTAGGCATTACAAATATTTGACTACTGGCTCATTCCAATTTTTTGATTCACTTACTTCATTTGGTTTAGGTAACACTTTTCTTCTTGTTCCATTGACGTGCATTCAACACCTCTGTGTATGTAACTTGGCCTTCGAGTTGAACTGAAAAGTTACCAAAACACTTTGATTACTTAGTAAGTACACGTTTTTAACGCTCCTTCGAAAGCCCCTCTTTGTGTGCTGTGCTGTGAAATATTCTTTTATCGCTACGTAGCTGGGGACCGATTTAGAGGGGGAGGTGTAAGCCTCCCCCTCCGCCTCGATGTGTTACGATCCGACGTCCGACAACCGCATTGACAAGTATTCCGTTTTCGACATTCATGGTATCGGGACCGTATCAGATTTCCAAAATATTTGAAATGTAAGAAAGTAAAACAGATTATGTCCGTGTATTCATATGCTCGCCCTGGCATCCGGTGTGGCACCATTTGCAAACAGTTTGGAATGTGTTTGCTAACACAATTTGAGCCAGTTCTGAGGCATTGCGCTGCTTTTCCAGAACTATCGGCAAGTGTATAAGCTCACTGTTGCATTTCTGTTCTCAACGTATGATTAACTATTGCACGGCGGTGCTAAGACAGCATTATCGCCTGAAACGTTGCAGCAACGAGTGTTGAAACCGCCAGTCCATCATGAGCGATTCATTTCCATGGAGAAATCAATGCTAATCGACTGCGCTCTGTCTCGAGAACAGGTTGAAACGCATGCATATGCTCGGCCAGGTATCCGCCGCGGCGGCCCCGTTTCCAGAAGTGCAATGACACCCGCGTCCGGCCTCCAGCAGACCTCGCAATCCTCCTGGCCGCAGAGTCTGGGCGGACCGGCCCCTGGGCGCCGCTGACGCCGCATACATTGACCGGTGCGTCGGCCGGGGGCCGGCTCCGGCGGCGGTCGCGGTCGGCGGTCTCCGACCTCTGGGGGGCCGGCCGGCCGGCCGACGGTCGCCGGAATTGGCCGAGCGCGTCAGCCGGGGAGCCCGGCTCGGGGAGATCAGGTCGCCGCCGGCCGCCTCCCGCACTGCCAGTCGGTCACAAGGCGCTGAGCCGTCCACAGCCGCGGACAGCTGTAGGCAACAATGACGTCATCGACTCTGCCTGCGGCGCTGGCGCTGCTGCTGCTGCTGCTGGCACAGGTGAGGTCACGGTGCTGGCACGGGTGAGGTCACGGTGTTGGTCTGGTTGAGGTTCTGGTGCTGATCTGGATGAGGTCCCACTGCTGCTCGGGGTAAGGTCACGGTGCTGATCTGGGTGAGGTCACGGTGCTGATGTGGGTGAGGTCCCGGTGCTGATCTGGGTGAGGTTCTGGTGCTGATCTGGGCGAGGTCACGGTGCTGCTCGGGGTGAGATCCTAATGCATCCACGTGAGGTCTATGTGAGGTCCTTTTGCAAGGTTAGGTGGGTTCCCCTTGCAAGCTAGGTCAGATTTTTGCAAATCTAGGTGAGGTCCTCTTGCGAACCTAGGTGTGGTCCCCTTGCGAGCATAGGTGTGGTCCCCTTGTAAGCCTAGGTGGGGTCCTCTTGCAAGCCTAGGTGAGGTCCTTTTCAAAGTTTAGGTGAGGTCCTCTTGCAAACCTGGGGTCCTCTTGCAAGCCTAGGTAAAGTCCTCTCGCAAGCCTAGGCTAGGTTAGAAGCTCTACGTCAATGTGAGGTCCTACTGTTCACTTATTATGCCAGGCTATGATGTTAATCCACGTCATGTTACACAGCTGACCTATTCTAGATTTCACTTGTTATTCAGATGAAGTGCTGATAAAACCCCATCTGAGATCTTACCACATCCAATGAGGCTTTTCTGTCGTCTTAGATAAAACAATGGTGCTGATGAAGTTGATGAAGTTATGACGATGGTCCATCTGAAGTATTATTGACAAGCCAGCTCAGCTTGAGCCTCAAATGGCATTTGTGATGCTGCTATTGCCAATATTCAGATATTCGCCTTTATAGCAAGTCGAGTTCAACAGCCAATGATCTCAAGATTCTCTCAAAGTGAATTGCTGGCGGTTTCATGAATTCAAATAGGAGATTAGCTCCTCACTATCACCGTATTAGCGCCTTTTCCCCTAACTGCACAATCTAAATCGTATCTGAAGTAGGTATAGCTTGCATACGTCAACCTAATTGGTCAGCTTCCGACCCCAAGATCAATCTCCTGGTATGTGTGCGAGCATTTTTATTGGAGCACTATGCGGTTTATCATAATCTGACCGCTACTTTTTTACAGGGAAAAACCATTGGTCTTGTTAGGTTATATAATGGAAGCGTCGGAGACATCGACATTTTCATATTTTTGGGAATTGTAAATGTGATCTGACCTCCCAATATTTTCATCTTATTTCTCATTTCATATTATTTCCATGCATACAAATCACTCATAGGTATGGGTGTTTTCGCCAAGATCCAGTTGTATCATGCCTTCGTATGTTATTTTTAACTGAGAAGAACAGGATAAACATTTTGTTCCGTTCAAAACTCACGCAAAAGTTATTCTTTCCTATAGAACTCAGTTGCTTTGCAAGCTGGTCCTTGAAATCGTCATTTTTCAGAAGAAACCTATGTATGATAAAATACTTGCAAATACTTGAAACTATGTGCACGGAGATGATCTGCAATTCGCTACCTTATTTTTTGTCTTCTTCCCGTTAGGCTCATTTTATTACCGTTATCTATAGTTTTTGCTCTTTCGATATTTATTAGAAGCATCCCCGCCTGATCACTAAGCTGCTTAACGATGCCTATCAGCTGTTCAGAGGCACATTTTGGTGAACACATCACCGAGAAAAATCACATCTTTTGCGGAGCAAGCCTGTTCTGCCGTCATGACTTTTTATATTGAAGCTACCAATGTCATTCTGAACTGATGGGTAGAATCACTCTACCGTCAAGTCGGGCTATATTTACTCCCACGTTTTATCGCTTCCAAGAAATGACGGTTTCACCGGCGGGTGCACACGGCTCTTTGCATTAGCGATATTTTCTGTTTTCACCATTGGCTTAGGCTGCACTCATCCTGCCGGAGCGACGTGTCGGTTTTCAGATTAACTCTGCACGGAAACACGCCAACCGGCAGCGGCAGCAAACCTGCCTGTCTCGGGCTAATCGGTCGTTTTTGTGGATGAACAATGCTCAGTGCCGGTGGGATGATGACTAGGGGCACTGAGCCTGGTCAGGTGGCCTGACGGGTGGCATTCGTGTAGTGCGGTAGAGCTTGTGTGCGACAAGAAATTTCCGGCTGTATACATGTTGATAACCTGCCGTCAACCCAGGAATTTAGGATGCATAAAAAACATACATGCATTCTTAGATGCTGAATTAAATCCAGAACATGAAGGAGGTCACAGGGGACAGTTCGTCAAGGCAGCAGCTGTGATCTCATGTAGATTAGTAGAACACATAATTTACATTCGTAAGTACTCGTAAGTAGGTTCATTTTTGCCAGTTCTGATCTGTCAGTGCGCATGCTAGACTGTTATCTTGTAACCAATCAGCTAAGCCACCTACAATGCCTATCTTTCTCTATATCTCCTTCTCTTTTCCTCTCTCTCTCTCTCTCTCTCTCTCTCTCTCTCTCTCTCTCTCTCTCTCTCTCTCTCTCTCTCTCTCTCTCTCTCTCTCTCTCCCTCTCTCACCGTCCCTGTTATCTGTTCCAGGCACAAGGCCAGCTGTCGGCGCAGGGCCGGCTGCTCGGTCTGCGCGCTGCACCCGGGGTCCGTGGAGGGGTCAGAGACTGGGTCACCTACTTCATGCTGCCGCAGCTGCCGCTTCAGCAAGTCAGCCAGGATGCCACCGGTGAGACTCAGCAACCAGCGTTCGTAAAAAGATGACACGCCAGGGGATAGAGACTGTAATATTGCACACACCAGTAGTATCATCGTATAAACTTCAACAGCACACAACAGTAACACCATGATATGGAGACTGCAATAGTGCACACTACAGAAACACCAAAATATGGAGACTGCTACAGTGCACACTACAGTAGCACCAAAATATGGAGACTGCTACAGTGCACACTACAGTAGCACCAAAATATGGAGACTGCTACAGTGCACACTACAGTAGCACCAAACTATGGAGACTGTTACAGTTGACACTACGGTAGCACTACGACATGCCTGCTACAGTACACACTACACACAGCAGTGAAACCACGTGATGGAGACTGCAATAGTGCACACAGCAGCAGCACTACGGCATGGAGACTGCAACAGCACACACGACAGAAGCACCAATATATGGAGACTGCAACAGAACACACGACAGAAGCACCAATATATGGAGACTGCAACAGTACACACGACAGAAGCACCAATATATGGAGACTGCAACAGTACACACGACAGAAGCACCAATATATGGTGACTGCAACAGTACACACGACAGAAGCACCAATATATGGAGACTGCAACAGAACACACGACAGAAGCACCAATATATGGAGACTGCAACAGTACACACGACAGAAGCACCAATATATGGAGACTGCAACAGAACACACGACAGAAGCACCAATATATGGAGACTGTAACAGAACACACGACAGAAGCACCAATATATGGAGAGTGCAACAGAACACACGACAGAAGCACCAATATATGGAGACTGCAACAGAACACACGACAGAAGCACCAATATATGGAGACTGCAACAGAACACACGACAGAAGCACCAATATATGGAGACTACAACAGAACACACGACAGAAGCACCAATATATGGAGACTGCAACAGTACACACGACAGAAGCACCAATATATAGAGACTGCAACAGCTAACACACGACAGAAGCACCAATATATGAAGACTGCAACAGTACACACGACAGAAGCACCAATATATGGAGACTGCAACAGAACACACGACAGAAGCACCAATATATGAAGACTGCAACAGAACACACGACAGAAGCACCAATATATGGAGACTGCAACAGAACACACGACAGAAGCACCAATATATGGAGACTGCAACAGTACACACGACAGAAGCACCAATATATGAAGACTGCAACAGTACACACGACAGAAGCACAAATATATGGAGACTGCAACAGAACACACGACAGAAGCACCAATATATGAAGACTGCAACAGTACACACGACAGAAGCACCAATATATGGAGACTGCAACAGTACACACACCGCTAGCACCACAGTATGGAGACTGCAACAGTGCACTTAACAGTAGCACCATGGCATGGAGACTGCGACGGTATACAAGACAGTCGCACCAAAATATGGAGACTGCAACAGAACACATGACAATAGCACCGAAATATGAAGACTGCAACAGTACCTACACAGTACACACTACAGTAGCACTAGAGGGAGGAAGATTGCAACAGCAATCAGATCAATAACAGTCGGAACCGAAAATTAAATCCGTGGCAGAAATATACAAGAATGATTCTTCTGGTTGGCGTGGGGTTGGAAGACAATTAAATTTCACATGAAAAAACCAAAAGATAAAACTGGTGTATCGATGCATTACGAGTCTGTGGCGCTTGCTTTTGTGATAATGTAAAAAGGTTGAACACCATTAGATATAGCTGGGGAAGAGCACAGGATCGATAGATGTATGACAATCTCAAGGTATTCCTTACATCGCGAAAAAATCCTATGTTATAATTATGTCAACAGTGATCTATCAGTAATTCTAGGGCTCTAGCAGGATAGCTGGCCGTTGCGATGACTTACCAATTGAATGATCTGTGCGATGACTAACCAGATGGCTAACCCGTGCTGCCCCCTTCTACTGCAGTGTCTGGACCGGGCCGGTACGAGCTCAGAGACGGCGTCACTGCCACCCTGGAGTCGCCCAACTACCCCGAACAGTACCCGCCCAACACCTGGGTCACGTGGCTTTTCAAAGTTAGCAATGTAAGTACCCACATGGCGTCTTCGGTCGTGACTGCATTTTTGCTATTTTCCATTGGTTTTCAATACAATATAAAAACATACTGCTTTGCTTCTCAGTACAAGTGACTGTCATTCGGCTTACAGGGTTTCAGTGTGGATCGCAAAATCACTTTTTGAATTACCGCTATCTAAATTATTGCTTTCTTATGTTCAGCACGTTCACAGGATCCTATAGCGCTTGTTTGTCTCGGCATCTGTTTTTTCTCTTCCTCTTTAATCTTTATATTTATCTGTCTCTCCTAGTCTCTTTTTCGTTGAGCTATTCTCCTCTGTTACGACTTGAGAGTCCAGAATTAAGTTCTTTCATCTCCTCCCCCCTCTCTAACCGCGCTCTAACCGTTCTACCCTGTCTCCCAACAGTCCGGGACCGGTCGGCTTCAGCTGCGCTGTGACGACTTCAGCCTGTCACGTAACGACTACGTAGTGCTGCGTCCCTCCGACTCTCGACGGCTGATCGTCGACGCCGGCAGCGTGGCGCCCGACCTGGGCGTCAGTGAGTCGATCGTCCTGGAGCTGCGCAGCGCGCGCACCGGCACCGGGCGACTTCGGTGCTCCGTCACCGCCGCGCGCGACGGAGACGCCGCGACCGGCGGAGAGTCGCAGCCGGCGGCGGCCAGTCCTGTGACGCCGGCGACGACTCAGTCCACAACGCAGTCCACAACACAGTCCACCACAACAACCACTCAGTCTACGACCCAGTCTACGACCACTCAGTCTACCACTCAGTCTACAACCACCCAGACGCCAACTCAGTCGACAACCCAAGCGTCGACTGAGCCGGAGGGGACGACTGTCAACGCCTGGTGGCTCACCACGACGACCACCACGACGACCACCACCACCACTACTACAACCGAGAAGCCAGCACCGGCGGAGGGGACGGATGCTGCCACAGCAGCCGCCGCTGCCGCCGCTGCCGCCGCTGCTGCTGCCGCTGCCGCTGCCGCGGGCACTACTACAGAGGCGCCGGCAGCGTCGGCCGACCTGAACTCAATCTGCGGCCGAAACAAGTACAGCACCAGGATTGTGGGAGGTGCTGAGGCCAAGAAGGGAGAGTTCCCCTGGATCGTAAGTACGCTTACATAAATACAGTCGCTTGGGTAAGTGTCGCATTTAGCTCGCTTTGTTTGAATGTGCGTTGTTTATACAGAAATGTGGCTTCGTATACAGATTCAATATTGGCACCGACGAAACTTATCGAACGATGAGGCATCCGCACGCATGCGGTTGCTGCAATCGGGTATTTTCCCGACTTCTTACGCCAAAAGTCAGCGAATCCTTTTTATTTTTCGTAATTATCAGAAGAGTTTCAGCAATATTATATTATTTTTTCAGCTGCCAATTCCCTATATGCAATATGCTTACATTACCATTTGTGTCTTCTCAGGTGGGATTGGCGAGTCCATTCAGGAGCAAATTCAGGAAGCCTTCTTGCGGCGGCAGCATCATCAACCACAAGTTCATCCTGACTGCAGCTCACTGCACGACCAGGTAAATGTCATCTACCTTTATGCGCCTCCATAACGCACTTCACTATCGCTATGCATGATAGTGAAATGCGTTGATAGTGAATGCATCGATTTGTCACAGTCGTTTATTTTAGATCCATCACAGAGTGGGAATGGTAAGACGATTTAAGGGTGTTTTTCGGAGGTAATATTGCTCATTTCTCCGTTGCTGTGATGCGCGGACAATTGTTTCTTTGCTTTATAACGCAATGTTATCGTATCGTGCATTTCATCGTTGAGGAATGCGCTGGCATTTTACGAATATTTTCCGGCAGACGTGGCAAGCCGAGGCCGGCAGTCTCCACGGTGGTGCTGATCCGGAAGCACACGACCTCGACTGACCCGGAGGAGATCGAGTTCAAGGTCAAGCGGATCATTGTGCACCCAGGGTACAGCAGCAGCACGCTCAACAACGATATGTCACTGCTCGAGTGAGTGAACGTGTCGCAAAAACAGCGACAGAACAGCTTGTCGATCTAATAAAAAATATGGTCAGCAGTAACATATATGACTTCATATAGATTCATATAGATGACTTCACATAGATATAGATAGATCACATCTTTCTGTTGAAAATGTTGTACCATAGAAAGGTATAGATATGCCGTTATTGTCTTTACTAGCGTGTTTAACCGTGGCTTTTGATGGGTGCTCATATTTATGATTGGGTATTTGTGTATTTTCTGAAGAAAAACACATTTTACCGTTGTCCGAGACTTAATCAGTTCGCGTACCGCTGTACCTCACCCCACACTGCTGTTTTTTCTCAGGCTGGATTAGTCTCCACAGCTGCTGTACCCTGTCTCTAACACCACACATTGCCGTTTTTCCCAGACTGGAGGAGTCTCTACACTCTACAGTCGCTGTACCCCTGTCTCTAACACCACCCCTCTTCCACCCCCAGACTGGAGGAGTCTCTGCAGCCGCTGTTTGACGCCGAGGACGGCCGGGTTCGCCCGATCTGCCTGCCGGAGACGCCGTGCTCCGGCAGCCGTACCAGCTCGGCCTGTTTCCCGGACCGGACGGCCGTGCTGGCCGGGTGGGGCGTGAAGCGCGCCGGCAGCCCCGAGCGGCCGCCAGTGGTGCACTATGTGCATGTTCCGGTGGTGGATAATGATAAGTGTGTGTCCAACTATGAGTCTCTCGGTCTGACGGTGACCGATCAGATGATCTGCGCAGGACTGGAGGCTGGCGGAAAGGATACCTGTCAGGTAAGGAGTAGGGATGGGGAAATGACGGGAATTGCAAAGCAAAAATGTTATGACTCCTCGGCCTGGGTATGATTTTCGTGTAAAATGAAGCTCGAGCGAAATCTACGTAGATTAGCTTGATGAATGATCGAGGGTCGGCTTCGGCTGACGTTCTCAATACGCGTCATACATGGTGACAGATGGTTGAACCAGTGACACTAAAAGAGCCGGAGACCGGACCTCCTTCTCCTGTTCGAGCGGCCGCCCGCTGACCCGTCCACAGGTTCAGGAGAGACCGACATCTCCCCGTTCTGCTGATCGTGCCGTGCGCTTCCTAGGCTAACAACAAAAGCATCAGATGTCTCTCCTGTTCTGACTGGTAGCTTGATGTTCTCCCCACAGGGTGACAGCGGCGGTCCGATGATGATGAAGTCCAGGGAGGAAGTGTTCACCCTGGCCGGAGTGGTCAGCTTCGGAAAGGGCTGCGCAGAGGCCGGCTACCCGGGAGTTTACGCCCGCGTCTCAGGTTAGTGGTGGCGAACACAAGGTTTCATTCATTCAGTAATTATGCTCTTTTTAGCATTATGATAATTGATGGTCGATACTTTTCCGACGTTTGCTGTTCAACTGTGCCGCTCCACCTAAAGGTCGGTGTCAGTTGACTCTGTAGCGCACCTTCCTCGTGTTGACTAGTAATGTGCTCCCCTTCCAGAGTTCCAAGACTGGATCGAAGCAAACGCCGGTAATGTCGGCAGAGCTCTGGAATAACAGAGCGACACCCACCCAGATCCAGAGACCGTATCACCTTGAATCTTGATAGCCGTGGCCAGCAATCGTACTGACTGTCTAACTGTCCAGCGTAGTTTATGGACAGCTGACCTCGCCTATTTTCGGATCGTATTGGTCTCAGTATACCATCCAGTTCGCGTGCTCAGTTTAGCGAGCATTGCAGCATGCAATGTGCTCATGCCATGGTGATAGGAAACAATGCACGAGCTCAAAGCTCCTGCCCTTAGAGTGAGCTGTGGGATCCTCAAGGTTCACTGCTTAGCTGCCTTACGATGTTTGCCGGTAGGGCAATGGCATTACGTAGTAGGAATAGTGGCCTTAATCCGTAAATTATAGCATTTCATGGTTCGTATTAGTGCTGCTTTGGCAGGCGTACAGGATGTCCGGATCGACCGAAGCTAAGCTGGACATTTCCATATTGACATACGTCAATGTCGATGTGAAATAAAATATACAAAACCGTAAAATGGATTATGACATCAACGACATGCGACCGACCTCTCACATACATCATCGGGTGTTTTTCTCAAGACCGCCATCCACCACCAAAAACAAATTGTTCACCCATCCGCCCCCCCCCCCCCCTAAATAAAAACTCCTAGACCAATCCACTGCGCTGCTCTATCCTTTGTAGAGGATGAACAGCAAACGTTCATACAATGCAATACTGTGACGTTCTGTGAAGAGGGATAACCGAATAACAATACGCTTACATTTAAAACATATTGTCATTTATTCGCACATGAAATGATCATAAAAAGGCAACAAACAAAAATGATACAACAGCGGAACTGCGATAAAACTTACGGAGCGCTCGAGTCATTCAATCATAGTACACCTCATTTACAGACGGTCACATGAACTCTGCCAGTCACAGTACATCTTTCACATGCACGGGCCCCTTCCACATTCACAGGACCCCTTCCACAGTCGCATGATCCCGCCTCATACTGTCACAGTTTCACCCCCCAAGACCAGACACTCGGGCTCGCCGCCGAGCCGGGCCGACCGCTCAGGAATGTGAACAGTGCGAGCCGGCCGGCACCCCTGCACAGCGGCGATAGCTGCTCTCTCTCAGATCAATATATCACAGAAGGGAAGACCTTACAGCGCGGCGCGGTGCGACCAGACCCGGCCGGAGGGTGTACTGGGTGTCCAGGGTGTTAGACGGTCTGAGTGGACATACAGCGGCTAGGCAGGCCTTCAGGCAGCGACTTCACCTCTATCCCACCCTAGAAGGCTGTGATAGCTGGACCTGGTTGCCCGGACACCTAGCCGACCGACCCTGGCTGCACCGTCACCGACAGTTACACCGAACGGCCTCTCAAATACAGCGCAGCTCACTAACATAGTGTGACGTCACAGTCACACAATAGCGCAGATCCTGGCAGCTCAACTCACTACGACGGCGACACGGTGTGGCGTCAGTAGGACGTCATCATCAGACGTTAGAACATTTAACACAACCAGTCTGCGGCAGTTACTAAGACAGCACAATTATGCACCTGATACCGTTTGCCCCCCCCCCCCACTCTAACAGGCGGTCAGTTGTAGCCGGTAAGTTCACCATCAGTTCAACATTTATAACCACGTGGCCCTGACGTGCCTGACGTTGGGGCCCAGAGGGGTAGATCCACGGTGAGAATGACTGAATAGCGTCCAAGAGAGAGAGGCGATCCGGTCGGGCTCTGCCTTTGGACGGCGACGGCAGGTGGCAAAATCAGAAGGGAGATAGTTCAACGCAGGAACACCAGCAGGGCAGCTTAACACCAGCAGTGGGGTGGCTCCAGCAGCTGTATCTAGCCGTTAGGAGCCGGAAGCACAGAGCATGCATGATAAGTCCCGCAACAGTGCCCTTTACTGTAGTGTAGAGAGGACCAGCGGCCGCCCGACAATGACCATCACCGGTGCACTCGGTCTGTCAGGCCTCCGGCTGGAGAGGTCTCAGATCAGCGTTTCGACCATATTCAGTAGTCCGCAGACCGGGGACGGGCGACACTCGTTTATCAGTAGGGACTTAAGATGCCGACCTCTTGACTCCCTCAGTTGAGTACCACACCGATATCGGTGGTGGCCCACAGTTCGTCGACAGAGTTCCAGACTGACCAATCGCACTGGCCACTCCTTCCCTACCACCGACCGGCACCAGTAGCTGCTCTACCTTTGGACACCTGGCCGGTCACAGGGCCACCTCCAGCGCCACTGGAGTCCTGACTCCTCCCCGCCGCAGTGCCCCTCGACTTACCAGTCCACACACGAGCGGGTCGTCTGTCCCTTGGCAGCATGTATCACCACATACCGGCTCGCCCGAGCCGTTTCAGACCGCTCGCTCTTGGCCCTCTCAGGCCGGTGGCTGGAAGTTGGCGTCCGTCTCCACGCCGTGCGCGAAGATGAGCACCAGACCGGGCTCGAGGATCATGTCCTCGTTCATGTGCTGGTTCTCGCAGGCCATCACGATGACGGCCTGCTTGCCGGGAATGCGGCGGCACACGTAGTTTTCGTAGTGACGCCGGTTCGCCTGGCGCGTCTCCAGTGTAGACAGACCTGAAACCGAAGACACAGATGGTGGGTTAGTACTGAAGGGGGATCTCCTGGGGATGGGTGGACGATGGCTTGGACGGTATTGCAGGCGAGAAAGGCGAATGATGCTCTTCGGTGTCATAAACGAAATGTCATCATCAGCAGTATAGTACACCATGAATGGCATTTAGTGAGCACCGCTAGCGGTCTGAGGCCGTTCGTCGCCGATCCCCTTCCAACAGTATCCAGAGAGGGGAAAGATAGGAAGGGAAAGAGTGAGAGGGAGAGGAAAGGGAATAGGAAGAGGGAGAGGGAGAGGGCAGGAAGATGAAGGAACAGAGAGGAGGAGAGCTAGGAGGGAGAGGAAGAGGAAAGGAAAAAGAAAAAAGTAAGAGAGCGAGATATTGGAGAGGATATGGCGAAATAGTCTTACCGGTGGGCCAGCGTCGTTCGTGCGAGTTGTCCATCAGGTCCTCGATAATGTGCGGCGGAGAGCCGGACTCGCACAGCGCCCGCTGGATCACCACCTGGATAATAGATGGCATAAATAAGTCATAGGTGGTGCGTACAAATACCATTAAACATGTCCACTTAGACGCTTTTCTGTCATGTAATTTTACATCACAGCGAGCTGAAGCTGTATTCACTACTAAATTCTGAGCCAGCACAGCCGCAATTAACCGAGAAGAGCCCAACTGCAAACAGTCCATGACCGCCTGTAGCTTATCACAGCTCGTAGAGCAGCAAGAAGTACCCACTATTCCGCTCGAGTACCCGCTCCATACCTTAAGGACCGCGTCTGGTGTGGAGATCATGCCTCCCCAGCGGGTGACCCGGGCGCGTGGCAGGGACGCCGACCACCGGACCACCTCGTCCTGCTCCATACGGTCAGCCAGGGTGCGCATACGCGGGTCGCTGCCACGCATCGCGTGCATAAACTCCTGCCGAGCGGGGAGAGAGGAGGGCCCAGTGTCAGCAACACCACAAAGGGAAAGAGACAGTGTAACGGTAACAAAGCGGAATGGAAATTGCGTAGGCGTACACAACAGAAACGCTATGGGAGAAATATGTAACGATGTGCACTACAGTAGCACAACGAGAAACAACACATCAGTATCACAAGAGCACTGCGTGACAAATAATGTCCCGCAAAAACATTAGGGGATGATCAGAAGACTACAGAACCATAGGCGACGGAACGGGGAGGGCACCGGGGCACCGTGCCCCCCTTTGATTTTGGCATTTTAACATTATTTAACATTAGCCCTATGGGCGTTGCAGGGAAAGAATGGGACCAAAAGTCGGAAGTGCCCCCCTTAATTGAGGGTGTTCCGCCGCTACTGTACAGAACAGCACATACAAACAGAAACACCCACGAGTAGACTACAACAGAAGACAGTTAGCCATGGAGCTGCAACAGCCCGCACAGCAAGAACACAGGCAGGGAGACTGCAATGGCCCACGCAACAATAACTTGAGCAATGGAACTGCAACAATACACACCAGTATAACGCCTTTTGGGGCGACTAACGGAGCGAGCGAGAGGGTGGGCATTGCACGTGCGAAATTGTGAGGGGGTACCTCCAACTGACTTGTGCACGGCACCCTACTAACCGGTTTCTACCGACGTGCCAAATTTGGGCACAATCGGCCCAGCCGTTCTCGAGATCTGGAAGCGGCACCCTGCACGTGCGCACGTGCAAAATGGGTCCCAACTGACTTGTGGACGGCACCCTACTAACCGGTCCCTAACTGTGTACCGAATTTGAGCGCAATCGGTCGAGCCGTTCTCGAGATCTGGAAACGACCCCTGCACGTGCGCACGTGCAGCAGCACCCTAACTCTGGCACATGGATATGCAGTACCTAGTGGGTGCCTACCTACATGCCAACTTTCAGCGCAATCGGCCAAGTAGTTACCGAGATATTGCAACAATTACAAAACGGACACCTCTTCGTTTTGCACGTGGCACGTGCATAAGGGGTCACCCACATGCATCAGGAATAGTCCAATACTTGGTAGAAGGAATGAAGCTACCCTACAAAAATTACCGCGTGTAAATCGGTCAAGTGGTTGCTGAGATATAAGCCTCGCAAAAGCGTGACCACGGCCGGCCGGCCGCTCATACTCAGAAATTTCCGTTAATCTAAGGAAAGACTACGCTCGCTTCGCTCGCTCCGTAAAGACAGTATCACCACTCTCTGGAGATCATCTCTGGAGACTGCAACTCATACACCAGTATAACGCCTTTTGGGGCGACTAACGGAGCGAGCGACAGGGTGGGCCTTGCACGTGCGAGATTGCGAGGGGTACCCCCAACTGACTTGTGCACGGCACCCTACTAACCGGTCTCTAGCGATGTGCCAAATTTCAGCACAATCGGCCCAGCCGTTCTCGAGATCTGGAAGCGGCACCCTGCACGTGCGCACGTGCAGAGTGGGTCCCAACTGACTTGTGCACGGCACCCTACTAACCGGTCCCTAACTGTGTACCAAATTTGAGCGCAATCGGTCGAGCCGTTTTCGAGATCTGGAAACGACCCCTGCACGTGCGCACGTGCAGCAGCGCCCCAATTCTGGCACATGGATATGCAGTGCCTAGTGGGTGCCTACCTACATGCCAACTTTCAGCGCAATCGGCCAAGTAGTTACCGAGATATTGCAACAATTACAAAACGGACATCTCTTCGTTTTGCACGTGGCACGTGCATAAGGGGTCACCCACATGCATCAGGAATAGTCCAATACTTGGTAGAAGGAATGAAGCTACCCTACAAAAATTACCGCGTGTAAATCGGTCAAGTGGTTGCTGAGATATAAGCCTCGCAAAAGCGTGACCACGGCCGGCCGGCCGGCCGGCCGGCCGGCCGGCCGGCCGCTCATACTCAGAAATTTCCGTTAATCTAAGGAAAGACTACGCTCGCTTCGCTCGCTCCGTAAACACCATGAAATGGAAACTGAAAGAGCACAAGACGAACAGCAGTAGCATATGGGGATGGATACCGCTACAACACAAAAACACACCACCATCACACTAGACTGGAAATTGCAACGATATGTACAGCCCTCTGCAAACTGCGTGGTAGGTATTCTTTTTTCGACAAAAATGAGAATAACGGGAATACTATGCTGTCGGTCATTCGGAAATCGTAACAGCAAGACGCGCTAGACCCCACCCCTTAGATTGGCATCATCACCGTATTCATTTTTCATCTAGTTCGGCAACTAAACCCAAAAGTTTATATTTGCCCCCAAAACAAACTTTGGCATTTTGTTGCCACACAAGGCGTATATTTTGTTTATTGATAGACCTAATCGAAGGAGTGGAGCATGGCGCATCTATTTGCAGTGAGTTCCGACCGACTGATAACATAGCCTTTGAGTTATTATCGGTTTTGTCGAAAAAAGAATACCTACCACGCAGTCTGCAGAGGGCTGTACATACCACATCAAACAGCGGCAAGAGCGGATAGTAAAAAAAAAAAAACTGTCCCCGTCCGTGCTCCCGGCGCGTCCCACCTTGACGAGGTTGAGCTCGCGGTTGAGCTGGCCGATCTGAAACTTGTTGTCGGCCAGCTCCTGCTGCAGGGTGGCCACTGTCTCGTTCTGTCGCTCCACAAGCGCCCGCAGCTCGCGCACACAGTTGTGCTCCTGGTGGGGTGGAGGCGAGGGTCAAATAATGATGAGTTTATGGGTTAAATAAGATGACACATCAGGTTTAAGGGTAAATCAAAGGTCATCGTAAGCCAGGTCACCGCTTAAGGACATTAGTAATTAAATTCGGGATCAGGTCAAATGCAGTCGTGAGACGAGTGGCCAAAGGAAAGGTCACCTGCAATCATCAACGAAGTCACGCATCAAGTCACGTTTAGCTTTGATTAACTGCTGTGATCCATACCGACTCATCAATCGTCACGCGCCCCTGCCCCGAGTCGTCTCCTACCTTGACCTCGTCCATGGGCACGACCATGCCGCAGCCCTGTTCGCACTGGACGGGCCGCTTGGGGTTGTGTTCGCACTCCTTGAGGTGGCTCTCCAGCCGATCGAGGTTGATGACCACCGTACAGCCGTACTGCTGGTTGTCGCACACGATCAGCAGCCTGGAGGAGACAGATCAGATCAGTCAGCGGGGACAGCAGGTTAGCACGGGTCAGTCGTCGTGAGAACGACTCATAGCTCGGTTTACCAAGGTCCAAGAATGGGCAGTTCAGCACTTCAGGTAGTTCAGGGTACTAAGTTCAGTTCTGGGCAGTGTTCTGGGCAGTTCAACTGGGTAGTTACTAGCTTCAGCCCTTAATCGCTACGGACCATCAGCATCTCCCTCTCCCGTCATGCAGGAATCAAAGGGCAGCCCGACGACCCTCCCGCCGACCAGTGGTCAAAAAGAGGCTGTCAGCCGCTCCTAAGAGTGCGGTAGCCGCTCAACAGGGGTCAAAAGATGACAGTCAACCGCTCAGCATGGCGTCACACCGCCACGCTTGTCTCACCTGGCGAGCAGGTTGCGCAGTATGCGCGGCACCGGTTTCAGCTGGGCGGCCGTGATCTCCTGCCGGTCCACGGGACAAATCTGCTGCCGTGACAACCACTCGGTGATGCAGCCCCGGCAGAAGGCGTGCTCGCATGCCGGAGCCTGCGGGAGGGAGACATGGGGGTCAGAGGGGAGGTGGGGGCAGGCGGCACAGTGGGCGAAAACCATTCCGCGGCGACGAAATCCAAAAGGTTCAAAAGTAATTTGTTCAGCAATACCTGACACAATTTCCCAATAGGCAATAAGCCATGAAAATTAGCATGAGAATGCTAAAAAAGAATTTGCAAATACTCAGGTAGGTTAACTTCACAGTAAAAAATATGCTACCTCAGCAATTGTAGTATTGAAGTATTGAAGCTAGGCATTGAAGTTCCACGACATGGACTATGACTCTTACTTCATATTTCCCGACCAAGCTTCCATCAACAGTTGACCTGTTCCCTTGTCCTGACCTGCAGATTCTACAGGTGTCCTACCTGAACGGGGTCCTCGAGGACCGACGAACAGATGGGACAGATGAGCTCTTCATCCACCGGCCCCTCGAATCGGTTACTGTCGATACCCATCACTGAGGCTGTGAGGGGCTGGAACAATGAATGGAGTCGTTATCGGAGTGGTAGAGGTGCGTGCCCGTGGCAAAGTCGGTGGGCGGGCGACAGGGGGCTTATGATACCATTTCCCTAGCTGCTGAGTGGCTGGAACAATAAAGGGGCATGAGCACAAGGCAACATATGCACAAATTGATTATACCTCATCACCATTTCTTTGTACAGTAGTACTAGACATAAAGCATTTTAATCAGTAACTTCAAATGTCCAGAATATCATGACGTCTTTCAGGTGGTCGAGTACTCGTAGACAGGATGGAACCATTCTCTAAACCTGATGGCACAAGGTTCGAAGGTTCGAGAGCAGCAAGTCATTGACCCACACACGTAGCTGCATGGGGCACACTTGTGTAGGTCTATACTTTCACAAGTATAGGTGCCGCTGGTAGTCGACGAGAGTGTCACACTGCATGGTAGTAGTTATAACAGAGACATTGAACCGATTGCTTATCGATTGCCTATGAACAAACTGAAAACGCAGCATAGTTTGAAGGTAGAGCCCTCAAGATCCCCCCCCCCCTTCAGTGCACCGTGCATTCCCGGTCGCTCTGAAGTGTGCGAACAGTAGTGCAGGCATATGGCATGAGATCGAAAAAGCGGACATGCAGCAACTGCAGGCACCGAAAGAATATCGCGACACGAAAAAATGAATATCGATACAGTACTCCCGGTCCCCGGACTCCCCGTCCAGTAGTGAGAGCCCATGTCTGTCGTTAAAGTCAGGCACTGGACATACCCCGTAACCCCATGCTGCTCTGCATGGCTCGCAGGTCAACGGGGAGTACTGGCTCAAGTTCAAAATCCGCACCAAGCCTTCAAACAGAGCCGAGAAATCCGCACCTAAGCAGACTGGGATAAAACAAAATCCGTATCGAACACAAAAAGACCAGTCTAAATCCGCACTAACCTCAGTTAATAATATGAGCCGCATGCCTACCATCTCCATAGTACGGAAATGGAAACGAAAAAATACGCACCACATGAGGAAAGCAGGTGATGCCAATGCAAGAACCATGTTCAGTACCTGCCCCTGGCGATCCATCCAGCGTGATTATTGTGCGATGTAACATGGTTAACCCAATAGCATGGATGAAGTATTTACTGGATTGGCAACTCTCCCTCGATTCGCGACCAAATATCGCAGTGCGCATGCGCCAACTCCAGATAGGACGCCGGTGTTTGGCGGCTATGCGTTCCAATGATGGGACGGGGTGGTTGGGTGGTTTTTGAGCAGTTTATCTTCGAAGTTCAACTCATAAAGGATAACGGCACTGTTTTTCATGATCTTTATGTGTTGATAAGCATTTAGCGTCAACATCTTAACCCTCGCCGGCCGACGGGGAGGGGGGCGGGTCACTCAGGCGTCGCCCCACCCTGACGGTTTTTTCGCGATTGATCGGATTGCGCTGGGGATAAAGAGCTGAAACTTGGAACACCAGGCCTTTGATTCAAGCCGGACCTTGTGACATCAACCACATTTTCAGGTCATGTCAGGTCACTGACCTATGACGTCATACGTAAACCTCTGCCGTCCTGCACGGTCCTAAAATAGTTCAATGCTGCAACTTATCAACGCCCTCAGTGCCAGACGATTTTCACTTGAAGATGAAACTTAGCAGGGCTGCAGAAGTGCAGAGTCGATGGATTTTCGATGACTCCGACTCCGACTTCTACTCCCACTCCGGGCAGATCTGTCGACTCCGACCGACTTCAACTTCGACGCCGACTCTGCAGCCTTGCCAGGTCTGCGGAGTCTGTGGATTTTCGGCGGCTAGACTCCGGTTCGCAAAATCGACTCCGACTCCGGCTCCGGCTCCGGTCAGGACTGTCGACTTCGACCGACTCCGACTCCGCAGCCCTGCTCCCAAGACCTCTTCACTTGTATATATTGAATTCACAGGACCTCACCATTATAAGCCTCTAAGTCAGTGCGGGGAACTATGGAAACTGTTATTTTGGCGCCGAAAATGATCTAAGACTAGGTATCTCGCATGCGAATCGCATGAAATCGTAACTATATGTACGCTCCGTGCGAGGTACGATGTTTAACTTTTGCATTATCTATTTAACCTTGCGTGACGTCAACAAGGTAATCAAAGTTCTTCGTCAATTACTCCCTATCAAATCGAGTTAGCGGGTCGCGAAAGTCATCACTGGACTCAGGAAGACCTATTGAATCGAATAAAAGGTATGCAATACAGCCTCCTTCAACCAACTTCCTGACCCAAGTGACTTTGATCTGACCTTGACCTAATGTCAACACCCGATTTGACCTTAAGTACCCACTAAGCAAAGAATATAGCATTCGACGTGCCTAAGTAAGAAGAGCCCGTCAGTGCCGAAATCGCGGCTCCGAGATTGTTTTTTTTTTTTAGCGAAGTGATTTGTTGCTTTGTTTGTTTTGTTGGGTTAGGCACTTTCGGTCTGACCATTTCAGAGCTGGAACGATTATAGGAATTAGGGGGGGGGGGGGACATTGGTCTTGGCAGGCACTCTAGTGAGTCACCGGGGCTGAGCCCATCCGAATGCACGGGTCGATCAGCCCCCCCCCCCCCCCACACACACACACTACTCACTACATCCGGCTACGGGTGTGCTCCAGTGGACGGCTGTCCGCATGGGATTAAGTTGCCCGTCCAGCCTGGATCAGGGGGTTGAGGCGTGGAGGAATAGGATTTGACTATCCTGAGGATGGAAAAGATGGAACAGTGTGTTTTCAAAAGATGGCGATGAGTGCATTTTACGCCGGCATAAGAGCCTGGCGACTGCACACGCATGTCCTCTACCGAGGCAAAATGTCTTACCCCAATGCTCCGATTACTTTGTTGAGGACAAATATGGACTTACTGGACGTTTCCGACACCATAACTTCGTTTTAACACACCGCACCCAGCCGTTCAATCCCTAAATTCGATTGAGCTTGGCCCGCAGTTTACGATAGGGTTTAGCGCCCAACCCTCCGCCGTCCTATCTCACCAAGCTTCACCACTCCGCCGCTAGATGGCCAGCCGTGGTCGCTTACATCAAAGGCGCCGACGGAGAGTTGCCGATCCAGGAATCTCTAATCCATGCCCAATAGTGTCGACGCTGCCATCTAGCTAAATGGCTATACAATCTAGTGATGCCCCAGTTATAAAAATAAAAATATGAACGGCTAAATGAGGGACCGGCACCTCGCTTCAGGTAACAACAATGTGTCCTCAACTGCCCAGGCAGTACGTTTCGACTTTCGTGTTGTAACAGTGCAAACTTGCTGCCGGATACAGCCAACAGCGTGGAAACATGAGTCGGGCTGTATCATCCCTCCCCCGTCCCATGCCACCCTAAGCCTCGGAAGTCGGAAGGGGGCGTGAACATACGTCTTTGTGATTTAAGCATTAGCATCTGACTGGGGAGCCAGTTTCAGTAATTAACCTGCGTGCCAGTGATTTCAGCTAACCTCTGCCTGGGTCACAGCGAGGGCTGACCCACATGATTGATGAGACCACCAGCACTGGCATATTCCAACCTGACTACAGCACACTCATTTAGAAGAGACAACACACTGAATTACATGTCAACAGTCAAAGCTCCAGCAATGTTTTTTATATTCCTCATCTATCTTGTCTGGTCTGCCAGGCCTGTCAGTTACCAAGCCAGCTCTGCAAATGCACCAGATCCACAGCAGCTGAACAAGCCCACACCCACCCTGAGCCCAATCTCACCAGTGCAAAAAAAAAAAAAATTGGCAGCACTGGCCGGATGTTACGGCACTGATATCAAAGATATCTCTTTATTTGCCTCCAAGCTAATCTTGCCCAATTATTTTGATAGTGTGAAGGATCATAAATCTCGCCTGAAAGAATGAATAAATGAATGCTGAATAGTTTTGAATGTTACCAAATGTGGTAAATTCACATTTACGGCATTTGGTAAGATTGAACCAGATCTCATCCAAACTGCCATACTTTGCAGGCTGGGACATACCTTCAACTTGCAAGACTGCTCGTAGGTATGGTTGTAACTAATTGGCGACTACTGGCTGGTGGGAACAGTTGCCTGTCACAGCCACTTGAACTTTGAACTCAGCTGAAAGGGACAGAAAGAACAGGTGAGTCACAGTGGTCATCAGCAATGATCGTCATCATGTGTATCAACAATCAACATCAATATTTAAACTGCCCCACTGCAATAGAGAAATTCTGGCATCCATAGCAGGCATCACTCTGGTTATGCTTCACTTACTTACTTAACTCAACTTACAAAGTACACACTTTGGATTGGTCAGAGGCCTTTAGAAACATTTCAAGTTGAGCTCCTCATGCGTCTGACTATTTGTATACGTGAGGGGTGTCATGTGCGAGACGTGCCCAGTGGGCGTAAAGCCAGAGCTATGTTCGCCCCCCGTTTCTTTGTCAGCAGCCTGCGAGCATGCTGCTACTTCTTGGCCCTCATTGGTCGCATTCAAGTGGTTTATTCGTTAGACCAAGTCACCAACGAATCCGATAGGCCAAGAAGCGCCAGCAATAACTTCCTTATATGGGGAAAACTGACAGCACGCTGATATAAGAACAGAGACAGAATAGAGCTCAGTTTTTGAAATGGTTCAGGGTGGTGTTTCACGGGATGCTGCTACCACGCTGCTATCAAATTGCGCGAGCTGACGTCACACTTGTAGTAGTGTTGGAGCAATGGGCCTGTTGATGTTTCCATGGAAACCCAATTTGACACGTGTAAAAGCAGCGTGCTGCTATCACCGGTGAAACAGGGCCCAGGGTGTCAGAGATGACACCCTGAACATAGGTGTTCGTTAAAAAGGTGCTGGTGCTTGCCAAACTGATCAGTTGATTGTCAATATGCTAAAATTACGAAAAAAAACAACTCAACCTCAGGACTGGGACCTGAAACTGAAACCACATAGACATTGATATGCCCAGCCACCATGCACATTGCACAATTCATTATTCACTTATGTCACTATGACCAAGCAAAATAAAAATGCTTAGGCAGGTATTCGACCAGATCAAAATAAGCAGATAATACACAGGAATACAAATAGGACAAATTGAAAGGTATATGGAAAATAATTAAAATTCACTGTCAGCCAACCCTCTCTCGAAAAATATTTTGATATATTCATGTGTCTGAATGTCTGAATGCGTTGACAAAAGTGGTTTGTAGGTCAACCGTTTATGTCTTGTTTTATTATTTCGCTTGCAGTTCACTTGTTGAATAAGCGCATTCGTTCATCTTCCCTTTTTAAAAAAATCGACAATCCTTTCAAAGTATATAGGACTAATTTTCGATACTTTAGAAGAAAACAACCTTTCGGGTGCCGCTCATCCCTCGATCATTTGCAAAACTGCAATATCTGCAATGGCCAACTTGTTTGATTATTCCAATTGCAGCATTTCGCAGCATCTATAGAACATGATCATCTAAGGAAACATCAACAACGGCGGACAACAACAAATGGCAACGACTGATACGGAACCGGACGGTTGCCGGACGTTTGGACAAGAATGGACGTGAGCAGCTTGATTTCTAATTTGTTTTGAATTCAAGATAAAACCAGGCTTTTTAAAAACCCTCAAACAACAACACCAGCAGGCAGCAGGTGGGGTAGGGCTAGGCGATAGAATAGACGTTGAATGTTGGTCCTTCTTTTTGCTGTGCAACTAACAGCAAAACTGTGACCTGTGGGCAGTGGGCTAAGGCCTAAGTGGGCAACTTTTGTGTTTAAAAAATACCTAGGCACGCATATATCAGTAGGTATCATCTTGATGGCCGATCTTAAAGGGACCCTCCCACCTTCAAAAAAGTTTATGAATTGGCATGAAAGTGATGTCGCTCGGTTCAGAAAGAGCGAAAACGAATATCTACCAAATTTCACCGAAAAATATTCACCGGTTTTCAAGATATTAGACTTCTACTTTTGTTTACTTTTTGGGATCTCCGCTGTTCCTAGCGACTTTATTTGAAAGTGCGGCATTTGTTGCGCGCAAAGCAGCATATACCACCGCGTGCTACAAAACGTTTTAGTCAAACATTTAAAAATCGTTAGATATCTGCGCTGACGTCACACATTCAGAGGGGTATTCCTATGCATTAGCCCCTCTGAATCAAAATGCTGCAATATTGAAATTCAATATTTCCGATTTAAGGCATTTCTCGATGTTGTGAGTGCCGAAACCGGTAATTGTAAGCCAGGGACCCCATTTTGGCTATCTCAACTCAAATCTAATGTTAAGGTGGGAGGGTCCCTTTAAGCTTAGATCAACTTTGTCAATGTTCAAACTGACATACATATAAGCCATGCTCAAGCTTCACCCAACACCAAGTCAAAATATCTCATTTTGATTTCAAAGACCTCAGCAAGACAATGTAGTTGGGTACCTACCTATGGGTCTGTTCCAGCGCCTCCAGAAACCTCCAGAAGGCTCCAGAAAGCTCTAGAAACCTCCAGAGAGCGTTCCAGCGCCTCCAGAAAGCTCCAGAAAGCTCTCGCCAAAGCTCCAGAAACCTCCAGTAGCCTCCAGAGAGTTGGGAGGTCCAAATTTCTCTGGAGGCTCTGGTCTACAATTATGGCGCACATGTGACAATCACGAATGTAAACAAAGGACTTTTGACTGATTATTTTACAACTTGAATGCAAAGAAAATCTCATTGCTATAATTTTGTTAATCTTTCTTAATAAAATTGAAAACAAATTTTGCATTTCAAGAGAGAACAATCATCATTCTTTTGGTATCTGTGATGCCAATCTCCAGAAATCTCCAGATTGCGTTCCAGCGCCTCCAGTGAAACCTCTGGTAGAGCCTCCAGTCAAGAATTTCTACTGGAGGCGCTGGAACAGGCCCTATTCCTTCACTGTGATCATTTTTGGTGGTGTTGGTGACAGTGAACCTTACGGGCTCCTTCAAGGCCAAAAAATAATTGCAGGCACAGAGAGAGAAGAGGGAAAGAAGAGAGTGAGAAGAGAGAAGAAAGAGTGAGAAGAGAGAAGAGAGAGCGAGAAGAGAGAATGAGAGAGAGCGAGAAGAGAGAATGAGAAGAGAGAGCGAGAAGAGAGCGAGAAGAGAGAAGAGAGAAGAGAGAGCGAGAAGAGAGAAGAGAGAGCGAGAAGAGAGAGTGAGAAGAGAGAAGAGAGAGTGAGAGTGAGAGAGTCCTTACGGTATCGGGATTGGCTTATAGCCTGTCGTACCCGATCTCATCGAGCTCCTGGTATTTGGCTTGTCGAGGATCAATCGGAATCGGGAATGGTGTGTCGTAAGTGGGACCAGTGTGCATCCATCCTCGCCTTGAAGCAGTTGATCGATGGGGCGCAGACCACCTCAGCCGGGAGTCGGTTCCAGTTGTTCACGACCCGTAGAGAGAACGAGGATCGTCGCACTCTCGAGGTTGCCGGATATTTCCTGACTTTGTATGGATGCCCACGAGTAACTCAATCGGCCAGCGTGAAGAACGTTTCAGGGTCGGTATCGAGCCCTCCGTGAAACAGCTGGTACATGAATATCATGTCTCCTCTACCTCGTCTGTAGTAGAGTGAGCCGGCATCTTCAGCATTCGGAGCCGCTGCACGTAGGGTTGGTGACGGATGTTCTCAACCAGTCGGGTTGCCCTGCGCTGCACTCTCGATCAGTCGCTGGTCCGCTTTGTTAAACGGTCCCCACACGAGGTTGCCGTATTCTAGGTGCGGACGAACCAGAGTCTTGAAGAGAAGAGGCAGGGTGATCTCATTAATGAGGGAGAACGACCGCCTGATAACTGCGAGGAGCTGAGTTGCCTTTGCCGCTGCTGATGCTGCATGTTCACGGAACTTCAGTTCGGCGTCCACATGAACTCCCAGATCCTTTTCAAGGCGTGTGCTGGCTAAGGAGGTGTTGCCCAGTGTATAAGTAGTTCCACAATTTCTTGTTCCTGGATGCAGCACTGTGCACTTCTTCTGGTTGAATGGCATCATCCATAAATCAGACCATCGTGACAAGGACGTAAGATCCGTTTGTAAGGCGGCCGAATCGCTAGGAAGACGAGTGCAAGCGTACAGCTTCGCGTCGTCGGCAAACTATTTCATGGTACATAGTAAATTATATCTAATATCTAATGTAGTAAATTAGATGCTACATTGTTTGTGTATCTACAGCCCATCTGTGTGTGTTTGCATACAACCACTAGAACCCACTTGTGTCTGTGTTTGTGCCCTGTCTGACTCTGCTGATAACGCGGCGCGTTTCCAATGTGACGTCACTGACGCCCAACCACCCAATCCGTGTGTCAGCGACTCGACACCGACTATCAGTTGGCCTCGCGGCGCACTGGGCGCAAGTACGAGTGGTGTCGCTCCGGGACCGACGGGTGCTCTGCGGCTGCTCTGTGACGGTGGCAGGCGTTTTGTGACGTTCCGTGACGTAGGTGCTCCGTGACGGTTTTGTACGGTACCACAGCCCTCCGTGACGGCTGTGTAACGGCGGCTGGCGGTCCGTGGCTGCTCTTCAACGTTCCTCGGGCCCTCCGTGACGGCTGTGTGACGGTCCCACAGGCGCTTCGTGACGCCGCCGTGACGCGGCTGGCGCGATGGCGTCCACGGCCACCCAAGTGGGGCTGCTGCTCTGGAAAAACGTCACCGTCCGGAGACGAAAACCGGTGAGTACTGGAAATAAATCCGTCCGTAGTCGGAGACGAAAACCGGTGAGTGTTGGAAATTAAACCGTCCGGAGTCGGAGACGAAAACCGGTGAGTACTGGAAATTATCACCGTCCGTAGTCGGAGACGGAAACCGGTGAGTGTTGGAAATTAAACCGTCCGTAGTCGGAGACGAAAACCGGTGAGTGTTGGAAATTAAACCGTCCGTAGTCGGAGACGAAAACCGGTGAGAAGAAATTAAACCGTCCGTAGTCGGAGACGAAAACCGGTGAGAACTGGAAATTAAACCGTCCGAAGTCGGAGACGAAAACCGGTAACCTAACCGGTGAGTAGCTCTCTGCGGAAATGTTTCCCCCGCTGGAGACAGTGACATAGCGGACGTGTTCCGGACGATAAGCGGCTCTTAGCCGACGCGTTTCTCCCGCTGGAGACAGTATTTGTATTGTATTTGTATTTACATATAAGAGCGATCCACATACAAAATGTGTGGTGATTACTGCTCAGTAATTCTCAGCGGGCGTGTTTCTCCCGCTGGAGACAGTGAATAGCTCTTAGCGGACGTGTTCCTCCCGCTGGAGCTGAACATAGTGGCAGCTGCTATGGGACGGTGGTCAGTCACCAGCACTTGCTACCCATCACCCCCGGACGGCGGGGGAGCAAGCTACCACCGCCCCTGCGAGACTAGCGCCGCCATGCGCCAAGAAGTGGAAACACCACGTGACTGAGGCCACGTAAGGGCAGGGTCACGTGATGGAGGGGCGGAGCATAGTAGCTTTTGCGCCCGACACTAAATGAAATGCGGCGCTGTGATTGGGCGCCTTAGCATGAATGAAGCCCCGGCGCCAGAATCAGCCGTTCGCCTTATATGGAAAGTGAGCCTGTGCGTTTCACTGTTCTGTGTTGGTTTGAGAGCCACGGCACCATACGCATTGTGAGCCCCTTTGAACGGGCCACCGCCCGAGGCACTGAGGCGACGGCTGTGCCGGGCAAAGCCTAGCCTGGTGGGAGAGGTGGGCCAGGGAAAGTGCGATCGAGCAGCCACTGGGACGTGGATTGGTATTATCTAACCGCGACAAACGATGTCAGCAGCCTCTTCTCGTGTCATAGACAGTGTCTATGACACGAAAAGTTAGACAGACAACGTGGGCAGTGCCCAATCAAAAGCTGCTAAACGATTCAGTTAACGAGGGTTAAGAAGTTGGCGAGGTAACCAGACCCAATAAAAAGTTTTTAATTCGATTTTGATTGACAAATGACATACAAGCCCGCTGTGATGGACCAAAAAAGGAGCTGAACAGTTCATGCAACTTCTAAAAAGCTCAACGGTTTAACA